ACCAGAACAGATACCAGCGGTATTTTATGGAAGTGACGATTTCAGGTGCAACACGTGCATTCAATCACAACAGCAACAATAACTGGAGTTCACAAAGAAGCTAAAATCAAACTGAAGTGGCCACTAAAATCATTCATGTTTGTTAAAACATCGACTAATTAAAATTCTCAGTAAATGAAAACTTAAAGTATAGAAGCATATACGAAGGATGCCAAGATATCTTGCATTGAACTTAATTAACGCTGCTTTACGAATATCAGATTAGCTTAATACCGATTTTCCCTTTGCTATCAACCAGTCTAGCATGCTGCTCAATCCAGACTAGTTTAAATACAACAAAAATTTTATGGTCAAATAGATTTGGAAAGCAAAATGTTTAGTTAAACAGAAATCAAAGTAATGTTGTGACTGACGATATCAGAAAGAAAGCTAGATTAAAGGAAAGAAGAATGAAACTGTATGACTGCTCGATATAAAAAAGGAAAGAGGGAATTTTAGACATGGAATTCGTATTCGGAAGCCCAACACTACTAAGATATCTGATGTTACTTTCCAAAATGTGTCAAAATAGTTGCGGATTATTTCCTTTGAAGATTACAAACTCAATTTATGTTAGAAAAGTTATAACATAATTGATTAATATCACGACCATTATCACCGGATCACCTGTAAAAACTTATACAGTCGCCACATTGTACTATGCCCATATTTCAATGAACTACAATAGAGAACTGTAGCTGAATGTAAGGCTTTCAGAGCTCATCAAATCCAGCAGTTATATATAAACCAAGAAAATTCAGCATAACGAATGAAAACCAAATTGCTAAAAAATTTTCTGACCCAACAATTGAGCAAGATATAAGAAATGGGCACTGGAAGCTTCTCAACATTCCATTTCTATTTCATTGTTATCACTGCCATCTTCATTATCATCATCATCGTCGTCATCATCATCATCATCATCATCATTATCATTATCATTATCATCATCATCATTTATGCCCTGATTTTCTCCGAGACGCAAATCTTTTCTTCCTTTTCCACCTTCGTCATCTGGAACAAGCATATCTTTTATCTCCATTAGTCCAACTACACATTTTAATCATGCGTAAATACCAAAACTCGATCAATTTCAGAGGAAACAAAGAAACATTTACCAGATGAGAAGTGACTTCCCCCAGATTCAACCTCTTCGTCATCCCACCACTTTTCCACACTTTCAATACTTTCGTCTTCATCGTCAAGATCATTCATTTCACCTGATGTTTCTGATATGTCATCATCATCTGAAACAAAAAATATAAATGATATGAATTTAGGAGCGAAATGTGTTTCCTTTTACTCTGATATGTGAAGACAGGGATGATTTCGGGATTAAAAATAGCACACAATTAGTGACGGAGGGCGTAAATATCCAAAAAAAAAAAAGCAATTAACCAACCTGACCGATAAGTTTCTAATTTAGAAATCTAGGTAATGGCCTGAATCAGTGGGGAAGAAACTAGGAATACGAGCCAGCACATTAGACCAGGCTTAGAGATCTCGTCAACAGGAGTTCCAGACAGAGGCAAAAACGCAGTGTGAAATTATTCAAAAAAATTAAACCAGAAACGGTCAAGCAATACTGTTTTCGAAAAATCCAACGACTCGCACTAACCTACAAAAGAAATACTTGGTTGCTGCGAAACAAACATCTGCGGACACATGCGACGACTAATTTGTTCATTTATCAGAGAAAGTTTTCCGCTTACTTGCAACAATTCATTCATATTCGATGCCCTTTTATTAAACCAACCAAATAAGGATGACAAATCTTCTTTTAAAGTACTAATCTGAAATTCATTTTATTCTTTGAAGAATTCATTTTCTTCATCGTTATAATGTAACCAGATTCTAGTGATGCAAAGTAAGCTTAGTTCTGAGTAGGGCATAGCGTATTTCGCATCATTAGAATGTGATTATATTACGTGGAAAGACTCCTGTCATTTCTGATAATGTTTTCATAGCAGATGGAAATAAAAGATGGGCTCTATATACATCATATCAAATGATGAGTGACATCATACTATTAAATCTGTTTTTACTGTGCAAACTTACTGTGCAGAGATAAGCCATATGCTTAGATAAAATACATTGCAGCCACCGCATCCAAGAACTTCTGAAAATCGACCCAGAATTTTAGGAAGTACCAAAACTATGAAACAAATTACTACAAGTTATACAATAAGTTATAACAAAAAGCACTTTGTGCTGTTTATGCACAAACTTTGTAATTGTAAAAAAAAAAAGAAAAAAAAAGCATACTCAAAATGTGTGCGGTTTCTGCAGCGATATTCAATTTCCTTAAGCAAAGGTATAATTTGTGTCACTGGCAAATCATTCAGCGTTGCTGATATCGTCTGCACATCTACTTTCAACAACACTGCATCGACTTTTTCAGTATCACTGCTCGTCAAACCTTGATTAAGAATTACTGCCAAACTTTCACCACTCGTACTTCTCATATCCAATCCCTAAAATACACGATAAACCAAGACTGTCATGGAAATGAATTAAAATTCCAGTTATTTTGTTTCGTTTAATCCATCATCATGGAAAATGATTGGTCAGTGTTTGCCGATAGTTTGTCTTAACTCGAAGGAATAAGTTTATCAAGTCTAGCTCCTAACGGCGAATATCCTACAGAAAACTGTGTATGAGTTTGTTGACAGTACTTCAATCCCTATGAATTAGATCTCGTGAACCTCAGTATATTTACCTACAAAATTGAATGAATAAATAACATACTGCAGCGGCTTCCTCCGTGTAGGTATTCGATGTGCTTGCCTTTTCATTCACACCGAAATCTTGTATATTTTCGCTAATAGAGTCCACATCATCCATTTCTAAACTTCTATGATTCCGACTGAAAAAATCATATAATGTGATTCAGTGAAAAAGAATTTGGGAAATGTTTATTCCAAAGCCAATAATTCAACTTCAGATGCTCATAAAGTTCAAAAATGAAGTGCTGGTATGCTTTTATTATTCTGACGAAAACTGAAGCTGTATGGCATTGCAAGCAAGTCTCTGTTAGGCAAGGTTTAGTGATTCTGTAACAGTGTGATAACGAATTATGATTTTAACTTCGATAATTTCATCCCAGACCAAAGCAACCATAAAGTAAGTCACGGATATTTTTGCAGAATATGAATCCCGGCTAAGAAACTATTATCGAAATTTAAAACAAAAGTAATTCTAACCTTTTGTCGATCGTTTTTCTCCTATCTTTTAAAGGAATATCTTTCAGACTTGTTTTTGATGATTTCTTTGATAAAATCACTTCATGATTCTCCTGTAATTATTTAAAATGTTTGAAATACTTCAATACTGAGAAAAAAATTGAATTGCTTATTGGAAGGAAGAAAACTTATTGAAAATTAGAATGAGCAATTTGACATGGTCGAATCGGCAGTACTTGGAACCATCGAAAACAGCAGATAATACTTTTGGATAGCTGAAGCAAGCCAACATAGGGAAAACACCACTTACTGCTCAACCAAGCCAGATAATATGAACCGCTGACAATCTTTCTACCAAGCAAACTGCGCAGCTTAATTAAAACAGTGGCATAGCAAAATCTCCGGAAATATCCGTAACATTATCGGAAGATGCATACCAGATTAATAGGATAAATTTAAACTAACAGTCCGCAACGATCCTCATGCTTTCCCTTATGACTTTCAAATTTCTCCTCTCTAATTCGATCCCAAAATGCTAGTATTTAACAAATTTTAACACACACAAGATCAAATGGAATGTATTTCAAAGTCATTACTCTCGTCGAACTGTTATTAACAACAGTTTCTTTATCTTTGCTGTTATTCATCAGATCATTATCATCCAATTTGATTTTCTTCTTATTGATGGCACCACCATTAGAATGGGTTGTCTCTTTAGCTTCCGATAAACGACGACTTCGTCTCAACATCTGGTCACACTCTACCGGTATGCCTACAGTTTGAATCCAAATGTAAATTTCGATTAAAATTGCTTTGCTTAAATCCAAAATTGACAAAACAGAAGCATCACTGACGTTATTATTTCCATTTTCTGATGAAAGTGAATACGAACTGTGTCCAGTCATTTAACCGTTTAAAGTTTAGAATAAACGGATACCCAAAGGACAGTTCAGTGATGATTCCAAATATTATCAGTAGTAATACTACCTTCCAATTTCGAAACTTCACAAATACATATTTAGTCCAACGAGCGGAACGAGTCAAAGTTTGTTACCCTAGACTAAATCAAAACTTTTGCTACCCCTCTCAATTGGGAAGGAATCATAAATCAAGAAATTAGATCAATGCCTATTCAACCATATTAGAAAACCATAATATCACCTACCCAAACTCACACTGTTACCCACCCGCACCACTACACAACCACCCACTCACACACCACCCGACAAGAAATGAGCAAACCCTCAGGGGCCTATCCTACTTCAAAATGCAGATAGTTTTTATGCTGCAACAATCTGTAAACAATCGTTTCGGAAACACTGAATTTGAAGTTCGAAAAATCGGCATAGTCCGGGTCTCCAAAGATCCTCGACCTCGGGGATGCGTTAGATATATGGGTGTGCTTGAGTAGACAAGATGCATTTTAGTATTTGAATTATTTGAGCACTCAGGTTATTTAGATATTTAAGTTATTTGAGCCCTAAGGTTATTTAAATATCGAATTTTTGGGACCACTCAAATGATTGAAATACGTATTCGAATTATTAAAGTGTGGATATCCAAGTATTTGTATTGAGCACTAAAGTTTGGGTTGCTTAATTTTTGAGAGTGCTCGAATCACTCAAATATCGAAATTGTTCAAGTGTTCGAGTTATGCATTCGAGTTCAAATAAGAATAAAGTACGTGTTATGTTTTCCGAGTAATTAAAACAACAAAGGTAAGTGCTCTATAAAACTAATTTAATGTAGGAATTTAATTTTAGATTTGTAACTTAAACTGATAAATTTCTGAAAAAAATCTTTTAGTAAATATATTTGTGCTTTTTGAACTGTAAGCAGCTTTGTGTTATCTATCACAATTTTATTCTCCTTGTATAAACACACTGCATGATCGTTTTTCGTTTCGCTTCCCCTTCTTGCTTCCCTTTCTTCCTGTCATTTTTCCGTTATCATCATTTTCTTCCTTAAAAACCTATTGTTAGTTATATTATTCATCGTTTAACATCGACGCGTATTACCTTCAAATTATTATAATGTTGTGGATTATTACAGCTAGTTGCGTCATATACTTCTTTACATCGGCAACTGGTAATGGAATTCATTTTCGGTTTCAGTTTCGAATCTTAAGCATTTTTAAGTAAATTTACTGTAGCATTTCTGCAGAAGTATGACTTCTAATCAACAAAAAGTCTTTTTTTGATTGCTTGAACGCTACATAGGTCATCCATATATTCTCAGGAAGAGGTTGCATTGGTCGGAGTATGTGATTTATCCACTGATGAACCGAACTATCTTCCGAAGAATGTACTTGTACTATTCTGATCCGTTCCCAGTTTTTTTTTTCTAAAAAGTGTGTGAATCAAATTGCTCCCCTATTACTGTCCGACCTCTAATAATTATTAGCAATTTAAGTCTTTTCTTTACAGCTCTCAGATGTATACTCGAAAATAGCATTATCAAAAAAGCTGCCATTGAAAATTGCTCATCATCAGTTACCGATTGCTTCTGGTTCAAATGTAACAGTTTGGATAGTAAGTGATTTCAAAGATTCATATACTTATGTCATGTGTACCTATTATGTTATGTTATAATACGTTGGTCGATGGCAGCAGTCTTTATCACTTCGCGATCATCAGCATTAACTTCGACAAAGAATGAAAGCACTTGTAGTTATTGCTTAAAAAGTAACAAAAAGCATACGTAATACAACTGGCATGTTCTTAAATGTAGACCTGTACAGGATACGAGATACCTGGGATAGCTATGCTAGGCATAAATTTGCATTCCATTAATAACGAAAGAAATAAGCTGAAGAAAGGTTAATGTTAATTATGATAACCACACTCAAATAGATGGCAAACTGTTCAGTTGGAAACATATGTTTTATTTTTTCTATGCGAAATCTTTCAAGTCAGAAAAACGGCGATTCGTTACAAGATTTGATTTCTAATTTAATTTTTAGATTCTTTTTTCGCTCAATGATTAGTCCTTTTAGAAGAAACAAATGAGAAGGGTTGTAACGACAACTTAGGCAACTTATGGAATTGTCAAGTGTTGAGTGAAGCTTGTTTGTTGACTGGAGGAAAAGCGTACTGCGATACGTGTGTCAAAGATTTGTGCAACAATGCTATGGCTACTTCTTTTGCTTCCCTTACCATTATTACCATATTATCGATATTACTTATCTTAAATATTGCCGTATAAGTGTAATATCATAAGAATTTATGCATTTCCGTACTATACAACTTATATATTTCCGTATTGATACATAAATACATACTTTGTGACTTGTTTCTTTGTGACAAATTTCCATTCCAAAACTTTGTTGAGAAATCTTTGATGTTGAAAAGTTTCCAGATGGCATCGTTTCTCAATATACGCCATGGTTTATCATAGTATACTTCAAGGTACTGAAAATATTTTTTGGAAGAGAGTAGAAAGACAATGACATAGCAGTGGATACAGCATTCAACCAGGGTTTAATGTCAGATGATGAAATGTGGAATGCCTTCACTTCTCTTTTCTGTTTTCTTCATCTTGTCAGACTGGAAAATGGTGAAATACAATATTTGTATACTGTTGCTTCCATACTTATCATAAAGAACGATAATATTCCCATACTACGGTGTTATTGTCTAGAATTGTGGATAACTAAGAATTTCAGAATTAAAATTTCATTACGATTGTCAGGTCAACTATTGCAAACGACTTGCAATCAACAAAATCAGGCTGTGTGCTCATTTATAAAAAATTGGCGTTGCAGTTGTTTGCGAATAATCTCTTATATCACAGCCAGTTTTCGTAACAAACTTCTAAATCGACACGCCTACCAACAATGTGACATATTCCATCTGCCTCAATTTCATTTACAATTTCTGTCTCAATTTCATTTGTCATATTTTTTTTTTCATTTGATTTCGGAACTTTCAATTTCTATTTCTGCTTTCAAACGATTTGACCAGTACCTTCAATTACAGTTAGTCGGTGTCGAGAAATCGTAAATAAAAACATCGATCGTTGAACGCCTTTATTACTATTCATTGCTTAAAGTTGTTTATTCCATTCTTCAACCAAAATTATTCCTCAATATGATCCATCCCGAAAGAAAAGTTGAATTTCACAATTTTATTAAAATAAGAATTGCAACTGGTAAGAAGGAATAGTAGTAATAATTCTTAAATCACATTAAAGCAAACCGGTTTCGCAATATAACAACAGCAATAAGAACAGGAAAATTAGTACAACGAATTGCTATGAATCAATATTATCATTGAAAAGCTGTGCATACATAAAAAACATTAATAATGAACAAGCAAAGTAACAAAAAATGAGACGGATAAATCGAACTGACTAGAGAATTGAAATTCAACTAATTAAAGCCAAAAAAATATGGTAAGCATAATGACATGTGATGTGATCTGATTGGTAAGGAAATAAATTCAAACAACTGAAATTGTTTTGCACCTAATTCTAATCATTGATTCATGTGATTACTTACTTCAATTCTTATCTCGATAAATACTACTAACATTTTTTTTAAAATGTTTGAATAGGCTGAACAAATTAAGAAAGAAAAAATCCCAACATGGAAACATTTATAATTGCAATCATCGATCGAATTACATGGTGTGATAACAAAGAAATCAACTAAAATTCGATCATTTCAAATACCTACTGCAACTACTAACTAAATCTAAATATAAGTGAAGCGTAAAAGAGGAAGGAATTGGCTTCACGATAAAAAAACATGATGTTGTGTCTATAATGAAAGTATAGCCTTGAGCAATAATTATATAATTAGGTGGACGAAATTCATGAAAGTAAAAAGAGAACAGGAAAGAAAAACCTTCATTTCTGGCCTATCAATTTTGACAGAATTCAACACTGTCCGATTTTAGCAATTCTAAAAATTATGCTCTTTCCAAATATCTCTGTAGTATAAGGATGATTTCAAGAATTAAAATCTACTATTCTAGGATTTGGAATAATTCTAGAAATTGCCATAAGTTATCTACCGCAAAGAGTAGTTTGAGTCGAATAATAATAGATGTATGCAGGAAAAACTGTTTTACAAATCGAACAAAAAAGTGGTGAAAATGATCAGAAGAAAATAAAAGGTATCTAAAAAGAGATCAAAAGCACGAAATATTGGAAATTTAGAATTATCATTTAATACTTTTGGAAAAGTGAAAGACCAAATATTTCTGGAAAAAAAGGAGAATTTCCACGGAAAGTTATTAAAATTCCTTTTTCACATGAAAATTTCCAAACTACATGTGCATAACTTAAGGAAAGTCTACGATAATATATTTTTCACGAGCTTTATAAGATGGATAGAGACCTTTTTTGCCAGTTCGCCTATTGGTACCCATCGAGAAGCCATTCCAATGGTTACCAGCAATTCCGATAATATCACCGATCTTTAAATCGATTTCATTACCACTTTCGGCACGATATGACTCTACTGCTACTTGTTCATGAGCTGGAATTCACATTTCCCAATTGGTGAATATCATCAAATGATTATTAAACAATCAGAAAATTTTAGGTAAGCATCATGTATACAAACTAAACAGATACATATTTTTTAACTTTGTTAAATTCTCTTTCTAGTGTATGATCTTCAACGTAAACCAACTATCTTCAGTTCTAACTTGTAATATTATGATCCAGTATTGGCTTTTGATACTATAAAAAGAATTCACCTTGCTGGCCACCGAAGTAGTAAATATCATCCAGGGAATGAAATCGATCACCTGCGTCACCAAAACGAACTTGCATTAATTCGTAACCCATACGGCAAACCTGCGAACTGAATGTGCAAACAAGATATATACACCTGAAACCCAAGCAATAACAGATAATAGGAAAGAAAGACTGTCTCCAATGTGCACAAAATTTTTTCAGTTGCACTATAGCAATGATGTGACCTAGACCAGAAAGCTAAATGAGTTTGAATTCGCAGTTCAGACCCATTTGAAGCTTATCGCGATAAAATCAACAGCTTGTACTATCGCTCATCATTAATCCTCTTTAAAAGATGGAAAAAACAAAATATTCAACTTCTTTCATCTATGCAATTGTTTTATTCTCTTGATCCAGGCAAGATATTTCACTTCTCTGTTTCTGGATATTTTATCCTTTTCCTTTTTACTTCCTTCCTAATTCGAATTTAAGAAATCACACCAATCATTAATTTGTCAAGTAAAGGAATAAAAAGACTGAACAAAATATACCTTGACAATAATTCAATATCGACCACAACACCAATTAATGATTCTATCGTATAGCGGGAATGAACCTGAGCCATTTTTGATATTTTTGGATCACCATATATCTCGTAATTTGGATATCTGAAACTTTCAGTCCTAAGCTAGTTTAATTCACTTTTACCCAATCCAAATCAGTTTAAATTAATATATTCTAATTAGTTCGTTTTGTTTCAAATAAGAATATCTTTATGACTTTTTTTATCGACATATGAAATCATTTTATTCTTTATCAATCTAATATAACACATGAAAAGTAAATAACTGCTTACATTAGTAATGAGTTATCTGATTTCTTTAGCAATAATCATTTTATCCACTGCCCTGACAATATGCTCAACAAAAAAAAAAAGTTCAGTGCTTTAAAATAAGAATGTTAGTAGCTGATAGCAATTAGAACTGTAGATTATCCATCTCATATTAAAACAAAGGATGAATAATCTTCAATCACAAGTACCACCGGTTATTAACATTTGTCATCAAACAACAATTAATATAGTTAATGGAGTTCAGCAATCCCGGTGGACGGAATAAATAACCAACTTCATCAAAAGTTCATCGAATATTTCGGGATCATCAGTTGCAATATAAATTCGCCTCTTAACCGATGACCCTATACGATATTCTTCGATCTTGAACCAGTCTTCGGCCCATTTTATATACTCATCCAAATCATGAAAAGATGCTTCCGTGTGAATTTTATCCGTTCGACGGATTTGCAAACCGACGATTGGTCCTAAAAATGGAACAATAACTTGATAAGAATGTTACAATGCTTTTTTCCCCTTCCCCCAGATTGGACAATAAAGAGCTTTTCAATAGTACTAAGCAATAAATTCCAATTTATTCAGTAAAGAAGTCTTTCCGGATCTGTTCGTTTCGACATACAGCATACAATGTATTGGAAGTCTTTTATTACTTGTTAAAGAGTAATAAAAACTTCTGGAAATTGTACTCTCTCCATTACATTAGTAATACAAGACAATTCAAGAATTATTCTCAAGTAGTTTTCACCTTTATCAAACGGCACTTTCTTTACGGCCTGGTCAATTTCCTTTGCAAATACAGCTGATGGACGCATTAGATATCGTATAAACTGTAAACAAATTTCATCATTGAATTCAACGATTTGTTATCAGAATGATTCGCAAGCGATGATTTCATTGATTAAGAGCACAAACTTTTACTTTTTACGATAAGATCGATTTGAATGCATCTCAAATACAACAAAACCTTTCTAACTGCAGCAAATTAACTCCACCAGTTCAATTCATCATTTCAATCCATAAAATTTAATCATATTAAGTAAGAGAAGAATGGAGGAATAAGAGAAGAACATCTTTCAAATTAGAAGCATCTATAGGGTTATTAAAAACAATACCATGGATAACCACCTAATATTTATGGCCCGGATGGCTATCTTTTAGCTTCCTGAAGATTTAACGATCCCAGCAGTTAGTCGAATTTTTCAGAGCAATTACTGTTTGCTATCAGAAAATAAACCTGTGAAATGAAGAACGCTGGAGGATTGGAGTGCAGCTTTAACAGTTCATCACTATATGACTGCGGAATAGCAAGTGGAAGATAGGGCGGCCGAAAGGCGAGTGAATCAATAATCGGTAACTTGACTATCCGTTTATTCCTATAGTGTTTACCAGTACCCCAATCATCAGCATATTCATTGGGCTAGAAATTCAATTTTTAAAGAATCTCTAAATTTTCAAAAACAAATAGAAACCCAATCAAAATGAGGACTGTACTTTCCACTTCCTCTAACTATTGGTCCGATTAGTGGTATCGATCACCGGTTAAAAAATAATAATGAAGTATCAGTTGCAGGTCCCACTTTATATTTTAATATCGAAAGACAAGCTCAAACAGGTAGAAATTTCAACGGTGAGACCCCTTTAGGTCAGTGACCTTACATATATTCGAAATGAAAACATGCAAGAATTGAAAAATCTCTTGATAACTTTATTGTAACCTTGAAGATTTCCGAAAATGAACATTTGGTAATTGGAAGGAATGCAGCAGTCCAGCCATTTGTGGCGTAATTCCACGTACGACCATCATCCGTTAAGACGAGTGTGCGATTTGAACCATATGCAACGATAAAACAATATGTAACGTGATGTAACTGACAGCCGAAACCACATTGCTTATTCAAATCACATGTTAAAATTCTGTAAATTTTATCTTCAGACAAAATTAAAAGGCAATATATAAAACATCTACTCATATCATGACAACTATATCAATCATAAAAGAGTTTGTAATTAAAGGTTACATTAAAATCGGATAAGTATACACATATCCAATACTGAAAAGTATGGCAAAGAATAAGGTTACTACCTTTGTTTAATAAAAATTGTGAATATCCAAAAGTTTAGCGTATATTTATCAGATATGTGATAATCGTTCCACACGAATATCTAATCTTTTTGAGCTTTCGGCTGACATTCAAAAATTTCTCAAAATCTGGTTGTGTTTATCAAACTAATCGCTAGCAAATTCGAGATTTTCTTTCTCGAGTCCATCCCAATGATATACTTAATTCTGATCAAACATGTCAACTTTATTTATTACTTAAATAAGAAGGTAAAACTAATCAGAAGTTATTCCATACCTTGCACTTTTACAGTCGTCAGGATTTTGCATTTTATCGAAATGATTTTGAAATATGGCCGAAATATTTGCAAGTGCATTTGCTCGCCAACTTTCTGCCAAGTCGATATTTTTGAATGCTGCTGCTTGACCAAGCAAGGAAAGCAACTGTAAATAAATATTACTGCAACAAGAGTGGCTCCCTCCAAAGAAATGAATGGAAAAAGTGACCTGCCTGATTCCGTGTGTGATTTATGAATGCAGAATTGTTGCTGAGCGTTGATGTAAGTTGATTACTGAGGTAGTAATAAAGTTCCCATATCGAATTATGTAGTTCACGTCTCGCTATCTGAAAATATTTTCTTTTAATAAATTATTTTCTGGAAGTTAATTAAACATTTAAATAGTATTTTCACGAATTATTATCAATACCATCAATAAAAAGTTGTAGTTCGAATAAGCAGACTGGATATCAAGACTGCTCAGTTATTTCCCCATTACTCGCCATAGAAGAAAAGCACACAGAAAAAGAATAAGGATACTAAAAGATAAAGGGAAATAATGAAAATTAAATTCCAATTTTTGATTGGTTATGTATGACAGAGAATTCTGGACGAAATTTATGCCGAATTTAGCAAAAAATACTAACTTCATGTTTCATTGAAAAGCCATTCGATGGTAAAAGAAGCAAAGTTTCACTTTTTTCTCTATCAATCCACTGCTGTTTCCGCTTCTCAAATTCATCGCTTATTTTTATAGGTAATATGTTGTCATTCTGTTTCTTCACCGTTAACTTCTTTATTTGTGGTTGAATTTTTTCACCTTTTAATAATTTATGAAGCTTTTCATTCTCATGCTTTAGTTCTGCTAAATCCAACAATGCTCGCTCATAATTTAATATTAATGCTTGCTGCTCATTAACATCCTTCCCTGAAATGCAATTAATTTGATGGTAAAAGGAAAGAGAGACAAAGAGAGAGAAAAATAAGGAGGATTAAATGAAGCATCCAAATGACAATCCATATAAATATTTTGGGATCAAAATAAAGTAAAATAAAGAAGGTAGGAGAGAACTTAATAATGGTGCTACTCCTTGGAAAATTAAAAATTCTCTGATTTTCCGAAAATTTGTAAAAGAATGGAGAACATTCTGCTTTTCCAGGCATTTGCAAAAGAACAAAAACTGTCTGCTTTATCGGATCACATTTCAAATCAATAAAATCTCTACTCTTCTCTGATATCCATGCATATTTGGTTTTATCATTTCTTTCTTTTGATATAGTAAACCAACCTTTTGACTGCAAACCGTATAGACTGAGTGAAAGATAAAAGAAGATTGATGACCAAATGACCACTGCAGTAATTAAAATACAGTGCATCGAACATGAGCATGATGTTCGTCGAAGCTTCATTATGTTGTCATCCTCATGAATGTCTAGAAATTTCCATGAATTAATGAATAACTTAACTACGATTCTCTCAAATATTCAAATATTCGACCACAGAAATGCTATAAATAGGTAAGTGACTAATTGCTCATAAAATATCAACAGGCAGTATTTATTTAAATAAAGCAACAAACTTACAAAGTACAAGTCGTCACTACCAATGTAAATTTGAAAATTAGTTGCACATTAAAAAACCATTAGTCCGAATTAATCCGAATCTGAAAATCATTCATTTTCATTTCATTTCTTTGTTCTATGCAAATTACATGTGAAGACTTATTTCATTTTAATTTGTTACTATTGCTTCCTGTTTCCATGCATCTTGTTTCCTAGCATAGCAAATCGAGAATTACGATTGTAGAGTCTATGAGACCGTTAAAATCTAGTCGAGAAATCAGAATAAGTAATATATTATTTTCGCCAGACTGTAGAATATTTGTTATCAACATTAGAAGATAAACCTTTAGCTAGACCAAATAATGATTTGTCATCAAACAATATCATCTAACATTTAGTTATCTAACAACTTTTTTTTCACCACTGTGGAACATCTAATCATTTATTTATTTTTGCTAATCTAAAATCGGCATCGACTCTAAAATTTAATTCGTCATAAAATTGCAATAAAGAGTTTGATAATTTGAATCGATATTTGCAAGTTTATTTTGATAATTTCACACTTTCGTTATTTTCTAATTAATGCAAATAATTAAAAAAGAAAAAGGTACTGGAATATATCGAAAAAAAAAGATGAATCATCGATGTAAATTAACAAAACTAGTGGTAAATAATTGGAAAAAATGAGGGAAAAAAGGGTGAAAGTGAAATTTAGTTAATCTCAAAAAAAAAGTTTATTGTTGATACTTGTCATAAATAATGCAACACGGAAGGACAATTGTTACCGTTATTATCAGTTCAATGTGCTTTCTGGGAAGAGAACATAGAAAGAGGATTATATATGAATTGGCAACAAATATATATATATATATATATATTTACTTTACAGTCATAAAAATTTGAAATGATTTGAGCAATCCTTCCACTTGTTTATCAGATTTTCGAAATTTGAGGAAGAAAATATGATAGCATGAAAACTTTTTTTTCCATCCTCACTATCACATAATATAAATATCAATCACTATCAGATGATATTATTGATTACTCTGTTTAGATAAATTATTGGAATTTTAAAATACTTTCAAAATGAAAACTATATCACACAATAACAATATACTTATCCATTTCTTCTTGTAAATTTTTTGCAATATTTCCATTCTGAAAATTTAACATTAGTAAATATAAGGGAGAAGGTGTAAGACAATAACGGATAGGAACATTTGAAATGTTAATAATTTACATTATGAATGTACTATGAAAGAATATTGTTCAATAAATATGTAAAATGTTTATAATGAAGCTATGAAAAGTACTATACAATATGTATCCACATACAAACATACACATGCATGTGAGTACCACATTTCTCACATACATCAACATGCACATATTTATACAATACAAAAGTGATAGTAACAGTAATGATGAATGATCAAACACCTCTTTTATATGCTAATATTTACATAACTAATGATTTCAAAGCAATTTTTTTATTTCCCTTCACTGGGATTGCTCGCAATTTCTTTTCTTTCATTGCAATTTCTCAAAAAAGAAACCTAAAAATGAATCTTCTGATTGATAAAATATCTTGAGGACTGCTTAGGATCCATATCAGATTTGCATTGTGATATAATCAAAAAAAATTTTTCTTTTTAATATTGGCCTTTTCCATTCTCATACCTTACTTCAATAGACAAAAGCTTTAGAGCATTACAAAAATTAGTAATTATAGCAATTAATTAAATAATTGATGGTTTGTTAGTAGAGAACTGTAAAACATTAAGTCATTAGGGAAAATATTGATAAGACAATAAAATTAAGCTATAATAGTAAACTGATAAGAGATGAAAAATCACACAACGTTGCCAGTTCCGAATAGTAACAACAATTTAAGCGTTAGTTGACATAGTTGTCTTTAGCACCACTAAAAATGACACAAAAATGGTTTGGAATTTTTTTTAGCAATTAATAAGGAATTGCGGGGAATGAACGGTAAACAGCCCATACAATAATGAGCAGTTCATATCGATCCTAATAATGAGTGTTAGATTTTGAGCAATAATTTCAGTTTTGCAAACATATCATCTGTATATTATGTATCTTTTTCCTGAGAGATCTTGATCCCATTAGGTTTTCCAGTGATTAACTTCACTAACTGTTCATGCAGTCAGTGATAAAAGTTATGTTATCCAGCGAAGAATACTTGTAAATGAGGATCAAGATTTCTACATAAATTGCAACACTCCTCTACCTTAAAAATTATCCGCTATTCATCCCTAACAACTGCTGCGGTTTGCCGGGATAATCAAGATAAATGATAAGATATTGTTGATATAACCTTGATATTATTAATATATCAAATATCAAATTATGTGACACATTTTAAACAATCCTCGCCATTGAATATCGTTATTTTTTTTTTTTTTTTTTTAAGTAATCTGTTGTAAAACCAAAACAGACAAGAAACTATCAACCAATGACGACTCAAATGATTCATTACTTCATTCATCATGTTGCTAATTGCAGTAGAATGTTGGAACCGAAGGAAATTATTTGTAATGATTAATTAAGTTAAGGAAGGAAGGATAATGATTACAAGACCATTCTCGATTTGTTTTTGCTTCCACTCATTGCACAATTTACCATTTCGTCATCATTCTTCATTTCCTTTCTTTTTTTTTAACTGGTGTAACTAACATATTAGGTGAGCAAAAATTTGCATGCTTTTGCCTATATTTCAAACGTAAAGTCTTCATATTACTGAATTAATACTAGCCATATTTAAGATCTGACTCTGATTCGTCTGACTCTCCTATTTAACTATTACCATAGTATTTTATTCATAAAACTCATGCGATGATCGCAGTGCAGTTTGACTACCAACTTAAAACTCATGAGAGGACCGCAGCGGAGCCAGCAATACAATCGAAAGTATAAAATTTATTCCCTCAACTTAATACAAGAAGAGATATGCTAAATAAACCTACTTAAAAAATATTATCCAACATTTTAAACTTCAACGAATATCTGCGTATACTAAACCTCATTACAGCTACGCAATTTTTTTTTNTTTTGTGTACGTTTAAGTAAAATTTAATTTAAT